TTTTTTTGTTAAGGGTCTATTCAAATTTTCAACCTTAATCTGTATTAGTTTAGGTAGTAAGTATATTTATAAATATCTGAATATTTATAAATATCTATCTATATGTATATAAGTATATAAATATCTGAAATACCCATTTCTTCTAGGTTTACAAATGTGTTGGGTACAGTTCCTCATGGTATCCTGAGATTTTATTTCAGTTGGTTCTGTTGTGACATTGCACATTTCATTATAATTCATGTTATTTACATCTTCTCTTTTTCCATTGTTAGATTTTCCAGTGGTATGTTGACTTAATTAGTCCTTCAAAGAATCAGTTTCTAGTCTTTTTGATTCTATTGTTTTCTGTTTCATTTATTTCTAGTAAAACCTTAATTATTTCTTTTCTTCTGGTAACTGTTGGCTTATTTTATGGATCTTTTGCTAATTATTAGAGATGTTGTGTTAAAGTGTTGATTTTGGCTTTTTCTTCTTCTTTTTTTTTTTGATGTGTGTTTATTGCTATAAATTTCCTTCTGAGCACTGCTATTGCTGTCCCAAAGATTTTGGTATGTTGTACTTTAATTCCCATTTGATTCAAGGAATTCTTAAATTTCATTTTTTATTTCTTCTATTATACAGTAGTTTTTAAGCCAGGTGGTGTTCAGTTTTCATGTGTTTGATTTTTTTTTTTCCTTGATGTTCCTAATGTTGATTTCTAATTTTATAGTGTTGTGATCTGATTTTATAATGTTGAGATGCTTTGCAGTATTTTGATGTTTTTAAATTTATTGAGTCTTATTTTGTGGCCTAATATATGATCTATACTGGAGAATGTTCCATGTGTGTGGGAAAAGAATGTATATTTTGCTGTTGTTGGGTGGAGTGTTCTGTATATGTCTAAGAGCTAAGTTGGTTGATTGTGTTTAGTTCTTCTGTTCTGACCTTCATAGGTGATATATTAAAGTCTCCTACTATTATTGTGGAGTTGTCTATTTTTCTTTTCAATTCTGTTAAAGTTTGATTTATGTATTTTGATGCTCTTTCATTGGTGCATAAATATTTATTATGGTTATATCCTCATTTTCCATTGACTCTTTAATCATTACATAATGTCCTTCTTGTCTCTTATGCTGTTTTTTGCCTTAAAGACTATTTTGCAGAAATTAATATTGCCACTCCTGCTCTATTTTGATTGCCATTTGTTTGGTATATTTTTTTTTTTTTTTTTTTTTTGTCTTTGTGACTAGGGCATGTCTCTTGTAGACAGCATATTATTGATGGGTCATTTTTTCTGCAACTCTCTGTCTCTTGACTGATCCATTTAAGCCATTCACATTCAGTGTAATTATTGACAAATGTGGATTTATTGCTGTCATTTTGTTATGTGTGTTTTTTATGCTGCTGCTCATTTATTATATACAATTTTGTGTACTGAGCTCATTTTGTTTATGAATTTTCATTTCCTTTGTATTTATTACTTTCCTCTTTTATTTTGATAAGAAGGTGTATTAATTTTTTTGAGGTCACCCTGTAATTTATTATTTTCTTCCCATGTTTAATACAGTCCATTCTATCTTGAAATTGTCTTGACTTCCTCTCCATTTGGATGCTTTGTAACTACACTATTTATTCCCTCTTTTTGTTTTGTACTTGTTCTCACTTACAAATTGACGTTTATGGTTCCCTGTTTTCAATCTTCTAGGTTTATTTTACTTTGGATACTTCCATATCTGGATTGGTTTATGTGTCATGTTGTCATGTGTGTTAATCTGTTTGTTTTCTGTCATTGTTGGTTCTGTTTCCGAAGGACTCCTTTAGCATTTCTTGTATGGCTGACCTGGCTTTTACAAATTCCCTTAATTTCTGCTTATCTGGAAACGTCCTAATTTTGCCATCATAATTGAGGGACAAATTTGCTGGGTACATAATTCTTGGTTGGCAACTTTATATATCGTATTTTTACATATGTGATTTCTGCTCAGAAATCAAAGCTTAGTCTTATTGGTTGCCTTTTTGTAGGTAACTTTTCATTTTTCTTGAGCTGCTTTCAGGATTCTTTCTTTGTCTTTGGTTCTGAAAAGTTTGATTATGGTATTTGTCTTGGTAATTTTCTTTTGGAGTCTGTTCTGTTTGGGGTTTGTTCAACTTCTTTAATGTATATTTTCCCATCTTTCATCATATTATGGAAGTTGTTTTCCAACAAGTCTTTGACAGTTTTCTTTCTGTTTTTGTTTGTTTGTTGTTGTTACTGTTTCTTCCTGTTTGGGAATTCCAGTCACACATAAGTTACTCATTTTGATGGTGTCTCATGCAAATTTTAGGCTTTCTTCATTTTTTTCCATTTGTTTTTTCTGATTGTTCTTCTAATGAAATAGTATTGAGAGATTCTTGCTAATTCTGTCTTCCATTAATTCAAGTCTATTCCTTTGTCCTTTCAATGGGTTATCTCTCTGAAATCTTACTATTAATCTTCTGGATTTCTATTGGCTGTTTCTGCATGGTTTCTAATTTTTCCAGTTCTTGTGTTTATTTCCTATATTCTTCTAGAGTTTTGTCTTTGTTTTCCTTGATTTTCAGTGTTTTTCATTGATCTGTCTCTCAATCTGTTGAAGATATTTAAATATAATTCTTTTGAATTCCTTGGCAGGTAGTTCCAATTCCATTTCTTCCTCAGGGAGGCTTTCCAGCTCTGCATTTTTGTCCCTTGTTTGTACTACTTGCTTATTTGTGTGAACTGAGATTGTCTTTTGTCTCCAAGACACTGTATTGTTGTTGTATTTGTATTTAATTGGTGATGGTATGTTGTGTTTTGCCCAGGTTTTTTTTTTTTTTTTTAAATATGTCCAAATGAATGTGGTTGGTATGCTAATCTGTTTGCTCTATTGGCAGCACAGACACTCACCAGCTGTCTCTTGGTGGATGTGATAGAGGATGAGAATGGGTGCACAGATCTTTGTTAGCTGTTCATGTAAAGTAGTTGAGGGCAGGTTAGGCTGGTTGTTGGCCATTGTCATTGAAAAGTTCGTGCAGAGGTAGATGGTGGAAGTGCAGGATGTTTCCAAGTTGTTATATATTGGTGGACACGGTTGCTAACTCTTGCTAGTTGGCACACAAAAAAAACAAAAATACACACACACAAAGAACAAAAAATACAAACAATACAACAGAAAGAAAATAATGAGTAAGATAAAAGAAACAAAGAACACGAAACACAAACAAACAAGAACCACAAAAAGAGAAAAAAATAAATGAAAAGGAAAAGGATAATAAGGAAAACACCAAAATCTAGGGAGGTAGAAAAAAGAAGTGAGAATAAGAGACAGAGAATAGTAAATAAGAAAAGAAAAACAAGGGATGAGAAAAAATGAAAAGGGAAAAAGAACAAGAAAAACAAGAGAAGAAAAAGGAATGGAAAGAAAATTTTAAAAATGACAGGAGAAAATTGAAGAGGCAGGACACTATTCTGGTATTTCTGATGGCTGAGCATCTGGTGAGGGACAGGGCATCTGCTTCCAAAAGCAGTTCTTATGAGCCCAAAAGGTGGCTAGTGGCAAGGTACCTGGTTACAGAAGGAATTCCTGCTGGCCTAGAAAGTAGGTAGGGGGTAGGGCATTTGATCCCAGAAGGAGTTCCTGTTGGTCCAACAGGCGGGTTGCCTGGTCCCTGAAGGAGTTCTTTTGTCATCCCAAAAGGCAACTGGAAGCAGGTGCCTGGTCCCAGAAGTTCTTGCTGGCCCACAAGGTGGTTGGGGCAGAGTGCCTGGACCCAGAAGAAGTTCCTGCTATCCCAAAGGGCAACTAGGATCAGGGTCCTGGTCCTAGGAGAAGTTCCTCCCAGCTCAAAAGGTGGCTGGGAGCAGGGAGCTTTGTCCCAGAAAGTGTTTCTGCCTGTCCAGAGGTGAATGCCTATTCTGGGATCGAATTCCTGTTGGTCTGGGTGGGTGGAGTTGGGGGATGGCCACACCTCTGATCATTGTGAGGACGTGGGGAATATGGTGAATAGTGAACATTTCTGGTCTCCAGCTACCAGTGTGGGTGCCTGTGCGGTTCTCGGCAAACGGGAACTGATTTTCAGGTTGCTGCCTCAACTGGAAAGCTGCTTGCAAAAATCCAAAATGGCCACACTGTCAAGCCAGTTGACAGTTCACAGCTCTGTTTATCTGCTTGTTTACTGTTCTCATTCATTTTCTTCTTCTAGTTGGAATTCGATCCACTTCTTTATCCTTTCCTTCGAAGTTCAGAGTTCTAAGATTGTCATCTGTATCTGTTTCATTTGGTTTCTCGTTTCTTTTTTGTAGAGGGTCTGGGTAGCTTGTCTGCCTATTTTTCCATGTTGCCAGCAGTCCTATTTAGTATGATTTAAAGCTTTTAATTTATTAAGTTTTTCTAAGCTGGCTTTTTCATCCACCTCTCTTGTTCAACATTAATCAGTGTGTTTCTGTAGACTGCTAGGAATTCACTGAAAGGACTTCATATTGTAAATTTTAATACAATGTTATTCTCTTTTTTTTAGCATTCTGTATGTATTTTTTAATCTCTACCTGTATGCAAGGCACAGTCCTAACCACCCAAGCACTGATCCTGTGTATCGTTGAAGCACTAGTTCCAAGATACGTTAAGAAGTTAATGAAAATAGAGTCTGTAGTCAAAGAAGTTGAAAAATGTTAGATTAAATTTTTTTTCAACAAATATCTTTACTGCTAGATGTTTCAGTGTCCTTAATATTCTAATGTTCATTGTTAGTCTCCATGAGGAGAATATATATATTGTGTTCCCTAGATTTACATGATGTTAGACTCCTTTTTTTCTCAGGACATCTTGAGGATTGGTGTTCTGAGGGAATATTTTTAGATAAAGGCTTCATGAGAGGAAAAATGCAACCTCTTTGACTCTGTGCTCAACATATATGTAGTGTATATACACATACAATATGTAATAGAAATACTTGAGGCTTATACATCTAATTTTACTAAATTTGAGTCTGATTTCTAACTTGTTTTTCGAAAACTTTTATTTCAGATGGAGAACAAAACAAAACTTAGATTATTGTTTTCTAATGATGTATGCTCAGGAAAAGGGCATATATTATATTCAGGTAAGTGTGGGTTTTCTTTTAATGCTTTTCACTTTTAAAGAAAAATGTAGTATCAAGAATATATTTTCATTGAAATAGGAAACTTTTGAAAGCATAAACCCTCTAAGAGCTAGAAGATCACAAGTGCGTATCAGAGCGCAAGAGGATCCATCATAGTAGTTGAAAATGTGGGCTTGAGGCTCCATGCTCTGGGTTAGCAAGAATACCAGCTCTCCACTTAGTGATGTGACAGCAGTCAGGTCATTTATCTCCTTCCCTTTCCTTTTATTCCTCCATCTTCTCTGTCATTTTCCCTCATTCAACTGTTAAAAAGAACTGGTATATAATTATTTGCCAAATTTTAAAGATAGATTTCTTTACAATCTTTTAATGGTCTTATAATAGGGTAATGATTTGTTTTTTAAAAATAGCATGATAAAACTACACTTACATTGACAATCATATAAAACTGAGGTTTAGTTCTAAAGGTACAATTTTTAGTAGCATAGCCATAACACTATACATGTAGAATTATTACATAGCATTATAGTTTTTAAGCTAGCTCAGTGCACAACAGCTTTCCTTTCTTTAAACAAAGAAGGTCTTTATCCCTTGTTCAAAATGCAGATATCCCTGAGATGTATACTATATTAAGCCTATCAGTTATTACAGTTTATTGTAAAAAGTTTATCTGATCTTTCCTGAAAGATTGTTAATTAGAGGTGGCAAGAAAAAGCACTGGGTCCCTGAGTCAGGTGGGGGTTAGAGAGAGGGGAAAAAAAAAAAAACATAGTATTACAGGGGAAGACAAATACCATGACGAGACTTTGCCTCCTTTGACATTTTACCTAAGGCAACCTACACACAACACACACACACACACACACACACAAAATCTGCAAATAAACCTATTGCCTTTGAGTCAATTCCAACTTACAGTGACCTTATGTGATTCAGAGTAGCATGCACTCTATGGGGTTTTCAGTGCCATGTAATCTTAAGGAAGTATATTGCCAGGCCTTTCTTTCATGGTGACATTGGGTAGATTCAAACTACCAATATTTCCTTCCTTGGTTCACAGGATAGAAAATTTACATGTTGAATTTAAGCATTAATTTTAGAGTGTATAACAGCGACTAAACAGTATAAAAGTTTTGCATGTAAAAATACAATATCTGAGATTTAGATAATGTATTTCCTTTAAATATTGAAGAAGAGTCTTATTTTAATTTTAAAATAATAAGAAAAACACTTTATTTTAACACATACCAGATATTTTTTAGCTGAACTTCGCTGTTCTTTTCTAGGGCCAATATATAAATAACTGACATTATGGTAAAAAACTTTACATAGAGAATGATTTTAAGATGTAATTAGATTGCTTTTAAAATTTGTTCCAAATTTCTCTTCAAAAAGAGAGTTAGTAGAACCGGAAAGCCTTTTTTATGGAGTACTGGAAGAGTAAATAAATGTATAGGAAATTAAGAAAGGAATGGGGTTAAGAAAGAGGATGGTAGGAACAACTTTTCCTGAGTGAGATCAGTATGTCAGATATTACAACAATAGCAGCAAATATAAACTAATATTTACTGCATGCCTACCATGTGTCAAGCATTGTTCTTTACAGTTTGTTCTTTTCACTTATTTATTCATTTAATCCAGACGTTTTTACATTTACAAGATCATACTACCTGCCTAAGACACTTGACTGCTAACCAGAAGGCTGGCGGTTCAAATCCACCAGCCACTCCTCAGAAGGAAGGTTGGGCAATCTACTTCCATAGTGATACCGCCTTGGAAACCCAAGGGAGGGGTCGCTGAGTTGGGTCTGACTCAATGGCAAATAACAACAACAAAAGCATACTGTCTTATAATCTGCTTTGCTGTTGCCTCTCTCATTATAGACATCTTAATGTGCCAGGAAATACAGATTAGTATAATTTTTAATTACTCCTTGAAGTACCATTTTCCAGATACCATAACAACCTTATTTTGATCATTTAGATTGCTTCCAGTTTTTCATTGTTACAAAGATGAAGCTGGTGAACATTCTTAAATTATCATATCTGCCCTAAAATTACAACTCAGAAAAGACAGAATTGTTCTATATTTATGATCTACAAAATACTGGTGGGGAAAACACATTAGCCTGAAAAATCCTCAATTTAATGCTAGTTTTGAATATTTATAGATATATATGTATGTTTAAGAAGCCCTGGTGATACAGCGGTTAAGTGCTCAGCTGCTAGGCCAGACGTTGTCAGTTTGAACCCACTAGCAGCTCTGTGAAAGAAAGTTATGGCAGTCTGCTTCTGTAAAGATTACAGCCTTGAAAACCCTATGGGACAGTTCTGCCCTATCCTACAGGGTTGGTAAGAGCCAGAATTGACACCACTGCATTGGGTTTTTTTTTTTTTTTAATCTTGATACATGTTCACATATATCTGTATATGTGTGTGTGTGTGTTATATGTGTGTATGTATAATATTCCTCCTCTTTCTTATACTATATTCACATACTACAAAAATAGTATTTTGTATCTTTTTTACTTCCCTCTGTAAACTAGGAAATCCTAATGAGAGATAAGTTAGATTATTCAGAGTAGCTTTTGCCATGACAAAATACTCATGTTAGAGAAGCACGTATGTTCATTCAAAAACTTGTGCATGAATGTTCGTAACAGCTTTATTCATAATAGCCTAAAACTGGAAGCAACCCAAATGTCCTCCAACAAGTGAATGGTGAAACTGAGGAAAGTCCATACCATAAAATACTATGCATTGAGGTTGTTAGAGATTTCATTTTATTTAGATCCACAATCAACACCATGGAAACAGCAGTCAAGAAATCAGATATCATAGTGCACCAGGCAAATCTGCTGCAAAAGACCTCTTTGAAGTGTTAAGGAGCCACAGTGTCTCTTGGAAGACTAAGGTGCTCCTAACCCAAGCCATAGATATTCAGTTGCCTCATATGTGTGAAAGCTGGACAATGAAGGCAGAAGACTGAAGAAGAGTTGATGCCTTTGAATTGTGGTGTTGGTGAAGAATACTGAAAATACCAGGGGCTGCCAGAAGAATGAACAAATCTGTCCTGGAAGAAGAAAAGCTGGAACGTTCCTTGGAAGAGAGAATGGCCAGATTTTTTCTCACCTACTTCAGTCATGTTGTCAGAAGGGACCATTCACTGGAGAAGGATATTATGCTTGGTAAAGTGGAGGATTAGTGAAAAAGGGGAAGACCCTCCATGAGATGGATTGACACAGTGGCTGCAATGATGGGCTCAGTCATAGCAAGGATAGTGAGGATGGCACAGGACCAGGCAGTGTTTCATTGTACACAGGATCACTGTGAGTTGGAGTTAGCACTGGCAACAACAATTGTGCCATTGTTCATATGACAAGAAGAGGATACAACATGAGCAGAGAAAAATTGAATTATAGTATATCTATGTAATGGAATATTATATATCTATTAAAAAGACAATTTAAATATATATTAACCTGGAAAAATATTGATCATATTAACAGGAAAAAAAACAGTTTTGTAGTATGATCCTTCTTTTATTAAAATAAAAAGGGATATAAGAACCTTATGTAAAGGTCTGTATATACTGTACGTGCATACAGAAGGTATCAAATGGTACACATCCAACTTTTAACAACTAGCGAGAAAGAGGGTGAAAAGAGAAAGCTGCTTCCTTTTTCTTTGATCTTCTCTTGGACTTGGTACATGTTGTACCTCAAAAGCAGAAAGTGCTTAAAGCCTATAAAAATTGTTGTCTTTTGGAAAGAAAAAGGATAGTGGGCAGCATAAAAAGACCAAGAAGGAATAATTGATGAAGGGGCATTGTTATTTCCCACAGTAAAGGGGTAGTTTAGTTGACATGCTGTGCATGTTTTCCATTTTATTCTCCTCATTTTCTTTTAATAATACTTATTTTTATGTTTGCATCAACTAGTATTTTCTTTATAAAATCTTGAGTTTTTCAGTTACAATACCCTTTTAAATCTCCCCTTCTGTTTCTTATTTATTAATATGATTGTTCAATTTCCTTTAGCTTGAAGATGATATTATTGTCAAACAGAATTACTTTAATACTATAAAAAATTTTGCACTTCAACTTTCTTCTGAGGAGTGGATGATTTTAGAGTTTTCCCAGCTGGGCTTCATTGGTAAGAGCAAGTATCTGATTCATCTGCTTTTCTAAGTAATTTTGACTTTTTCAAAATCTTAAACTAATTTTTCTTTTACTCTAAAATTATCTTTTTTCTATGTAGATTAAAAAGATTGACTGATTGCTTTCAAGAAGATTTAACATAGGTGAACTTTCTTGTATAAAATGATGAAAGTCAGCCCTGAAAAGAGTTTTGAGATTTCTAATTTTCTAATATCTATTCTAAGATTCCACAGGGTAGCTCTACTGGCTTCTTATGTGTACACAATGACAGCTGTGATTCTAGTGCACATGTTTGGTTTATTCTCTATTATCACCAGTTCTTCTTTTATAGCCCAATGGTATTACAAGATTTGAGTCTTTTAAAAAAAGTACCACAGTAATGGTGTTCCTGACATTTTCATGTAATGCATGAAGTTCTCAGTCAGTGATTAACTTTTTATTCATTTTTTTTTGACTAGTTGAGGTGTTCATTTTAATTTGTTTTCATTAAACTTTCTAAATTAGCCACCCAAGAAGAATATATTTAAAGATGAAGAATTTAAGGAAATTTATGGATTTTTTTAAAAACACTCAAGGACAACATTCCACTTCCTATAGCATTTTAAAAATTTAAGTATTAGAGACTAGACCTTTGACTTTGTTGATCCTTTAATGCAAAACTTATTTAAAAAGTCAAAAAGCACCTTGTAAAGATTTCAAGGAAGACAGAATTAGGATCCTTGTTTTTTGCATTTATTGATTTAGTTAAAAATTATTTATCTTAACCATTCATGTTTCTCTTTTATGGAGAGAATCTTAATGAGACGTGAAGGAAAAAAAATCTCTGACTTGGTTTTTTAATCTTTTGAGCCAGTGGCTGTGTGATAGATTTTGTAATAGAAAAAGTCAGAAGTTTAGTATATCCATTTATACCCACATAGTAACTCAAAAGAGTATTTAGCTAAAGAAAGTTTGTTTGTTTATAATACAAGTGGGAAAACGTCATGATAATTTTTAGGTAAAAGCATACGCTTAGTGTAAATTTCACTTATTTAAATTGTTTTGATACTTTTTTTCCTTATTACAGCTATTGACATGGAATATCTTTTCAGGTAAAATGTTTCAAGCACCAGACCTCACTCTGATTGTAGAATTCATATTTATGTTTTATAAGGAGAAACCCATTGATTGGCTTTTAGACCATATTCTCTGGGTGAAAGTCTGCAACCCTGAAAAAGATGCAGTAAGTTAATTTTTCATGGGGGTGGAAGTGGCTTCTATATTTCATGTAAGTGACTTTTATTGAGGCAATTTTGTGAAGAGACAATTAAATAGGCAGTTCTAGGAGAACAGTGTTCAGTGTTTCCACTGAAAGTTTAAATTGCCTGCCATCTTTCTTGAACTGATAAAAAATTTTTATATTAGCGACTTTTAAATAGCAGTAAAAAATTTTGTAATTCAAGGAAGCCTGTTGCTTTACAATGATCTTTATTTAAATCACTGATAAAAGTTTATTATGCCTTTAGGCTCTGCTATTTCATTACTGTTGGATAGAGGTGTTGATCACATCTATCTTCTTTGAGGTGTTCTTTCAGTTTGTTTTTTTTATTCTCTGTCAACTCTTCCCCACCCCCCACCCAAATACTTTGGGAACAATATTAGACCCCAGCACGTCTGGAAATAAGGAATAAAATAGAAATAATATTTTATACAAAAACAAGGGCAAGTAAAAAACTGTGCCTTTTAGTATATTATATTACTTATAAGAAGCCAATGTTCATACTAATGTGCTTAATTTTAGAATAATGGTGAGCAAGCAAGTAAGTAAATTATGATTTTTGCTTTAATTATTGAGCTCTGATGTCACAGTGGTGGAAGCACTCAGCTGCTAACTGAAGAGTTGATGATTTGAACCCAGCAGCCACTCAGCAGGAGAAAAATGTTGTGGTCTGCTTCCATAAAGATTTATAGCCTTGGAAACCCTGTAGAGAAATTCTCTGTCCTATAGGGAAGGTTGGGCAATCCTACTTCCGTAGTGATACTGCCTCAGAAACCCAAGGAGGGGTCGCTATGAGTCAGGGCCGACTCGACGGCACATAACAACAACAACAACATAGGGTCTTTAAGACTTGGGAGCAACTTGACTACAATGAGTTTTTCAGCTTTGATTTTCCAAATATTGTTATTTCCATAGAAATCTTATTGTAAGAAGTAATAAGATATGTTTTCCTTGTCCAATTTGAATTGCATCTCTGAAATAAATATAATGTTTAGTTTATTTAGTGTAAGTATAAACAAAATAAGAATACAGATACTTATAAGGAATAAGAACTAAATATTTATTGTAAGCATGTCATTAAAAGGTGAGTTAACATTCATTGTAACAAATAAACATTTAGTTTGACTTCATGATCTTATATTTTGAAGAATAGGTTGATTAGCCTACTTGCCAATTAATTTTTTAGACACTGCCATCTGGTGTCTATAAGCTATAATTGCAGTCTTCTTGTTTTAAAGAAAGAGTAACCTTGTTCTGTGTATTTTCACCAAAAAGAAAAAGAGAGAAACCACTTTGTTGGAGCAAATCTTGGGAGATAGTAAAATTTTAAAGTATCTACTTTGCAGCAACAACTGAACATATAAATTGATTTGAGCATCTCATTTTTAAAGTCCTATTGTTGATATTTACAGGAATTTTTAATATAGGAGACAAAGAAGTTAATGCCATCTTTACCCTCCTACAGCACACTTGAATTTAATTGATAATGTGCAGTTTTATCTAATGTGTAGTTAGGTTCTAAAATCAGCACATGAGGTGGTAAAACTCTGATAGTAAAATTAAAACTGTGAAAACCCTATAAATCCTTCATAAATTTTTATTTAATCCTTTGGGCAATTTTATCTTTTCCTTCACTCTTCCTTAGTCCATGGTTTTGTTTTGTTTTTCAATTATGGTAAAAAGTACATGAAAAAACATTTGCCAATTATGCAATTTTTACATGTCCAATTCAATGACAATTACGTTCATCATGTTATGTGAAAATTACCACTGTCCTTTCCCAGATTATTTCACCACACTTAAACTCAGTGCCCCCTAAGTACATTTCCTTTCCCTTCCTCTTCCCAGTAACCACTCTTTCTGGCTACTCTGGTAACCACTAATACATTTTGATCTATAATTATTTGCCTATTTCATATAAGTGGGATCATGTAATATTTGTCTTTTTGTGACAGGCTTGTTTCACTCAACATAGTGTTTTGTTTTGTTTAATTTTCATTGTGATTTGGGTGAAACTTTACAGAGCAAATTCACTTTCCATACAGCAGCTCACATACACTTTATACATGGCATGACTGCAATTTCCCACAGTGCAACAGCTCCCCTCCCAGTTTTTCCCCATAGTTACCTCTTCCCTGTGTCCATCCCTTCCTTGCACTCCTGCCCCCTGAACTGTCTCCCTGTGCATACACAGCCCTTCTATTCTCCCATGATTGTTCTCTCCAAGGAGTATATCTATCTAATGTAAATGTTCAGCTCATATGCCTGTCTTTTGTTTGGCTGGAAGCCACAGAAGTGAGTTTAATTCTAGCCCTGAAGGGCAGCGAGGGGCCATAGTCTCATAGGTTCCACCAGGCTCTATCAGACCAACAAATCTAGTCCTTTTTTTTTTTTTTTTCATGATTTTGAATTTTGTTCCACATTGTTCTCCCACTCTATCCAGGATCACCTACATAGATCCCCCTCTGAGTGGTTGACATTGGTAGCCGGGCACCATCTAGTTCTTCTGGTCTCATAGTTAATATAGGCTGAGGATCGTATGGTGTACCAGTCCCTTTGACTAATTGTTTCCATGCGTCTTTGGTTTTCTTCATTCTTCTTTGATCTGGACAAGGAGAGACCCATTGTTGCATCTAGATGGCTGCTTGCAAGCTTTTAAGATCTCAGTCGCTACTTCCAAAGTACGATATGGAACAATGTTTTCATATAGTGTTATGCTAATTGAACTTGGTGTCCCTTGTGACCGTGGTCCTCAGCCCACACCTTTTCCTATCTTTTTTTTTTTTTTTACTATTCTTCCCCTCCCAGGTCCTAGTTTACATCTTTTTTTTTTTTTTTTCTTTTCCTATCTTTTTAATAACTCTTTGTGCATTTTAATATTAAAAGTCATATCTATATTAACATACCTTGAAGAATGGTTGAAGTTAATTCTTTTATATTATACTTTGATGTACTCATTTTTAATCTTCTGATCATGTCTGTTTGTCAACCAGAAAACTCAACCTCACTGCTATTGTGTCAATTCCAGCTCATGGCAACCCCCATTAGGTTTCCAAGGTTGTAAATCTTCACGAAAGCAGACTGCCTCATCTTCCTCTCACAGGGTGGCTGGTGGGTTTGAACCACCAGAATTCTGGTTAGCAGCCAAATGCTTTAACCACTATACCTCCAGAGCTCCTTTGTCTCTTTGTCAAGTAGGTAGCAAATCTATTAATGCCTCAGAGAGGAACATAAGAAACACATGGCTTAGAATTATGAGCTGAAGTTGCTTTTTTTTTCATTATTTTTCTAAAGGACTTAATTTTTTCAGGTGAGATGAAATTTCACTTTATTATGTAACAATAACTTTTTTTTTTTTAAATACTTAGAAACACTGTGATAGACAGAAAGCAAATCTGCGAATTCGCTTTAGACCTTCCCTTTTCCAGCATGTTGGACTTCATTCTTCACTGTCAGGAAAAATTCAGAAACTAACGGTTGGTGATTTAACTTTATTTTCCTCATGGGTATATAATTTGTTGTTTAGTGTATAGTTATTGCTCTTCCTCTTAAGTGTAAAAAGCTATAGATTGTTTAATATCATACATGTCTTTTCTCCTAGGATAAAGATTACATGAAACCTTTACTTCTTAAAATCCATGTAAACCCACCCGCAGAAGTATCTACTTCCATGAAGGTCTACCAAGGACATACACTGGAGAAAACTTATATGGGGGAGGATTTCTTCTGGGCTATCACTCCAATATCTGGAGACTACATCTTATTTAAATTTGATAAGCCAGTCAATGTAGAAAGGTTGGTGATTATTGAAATATATTTGGCCTTGGAATTTAAACCTCTTGTTCATAGTGTGATTTATGATACAATTTTTGGGTGTAACAGATGTGAGGAAACTGTGGTCCAAAATTGCTGGGTTATAAATTACATTCAATGTAACTTAGTAATAGAATGGGTGAGTTAATATAAGCATTAGTTACCATGTTTGATAGATTCTGTTGGTTTTTCTAAGCTTATATTTAGTGTAACTTCTAAAATGTTTTATGTAGAACACTCCCTCAGAAATCTCAAATTCGTTTTCATGTCTTTATTCTAGAATATTCCTTAAGTTTTAACTGAGAGCTAGTTGATTAACCCAGCAATTTGTTTGAAATGATAATTTGAGAAAATACAACTGTTCCTAGTCAGTAGTTTTGCAAATACTGGATTATTTTTAGTATATCATAGAGGAATATTACAACCCTTATATCTTTTTCAGCATTTATACGCATTTTTCAAACTTAAGACTTCTTTCTCCATGTTTTTTTATTTAAAGTCATGATTCCTTCAACTTTTCCTCAGTCCTAAGTGTGCTCCACAGCCTGTCAATGGCATACTTAAATGTAATCCCCAGAATAGAAGGCCTGTGGAGCACACTTAAGACTGAGGAAAAATTGAAGGAATCATGACTGTTAAATAATATGGCTTTGTGTGAGGGCAATTTGATTTTTGAATATTCCAAAAATCTTTTTGAATAATTCATTTAATGTGGTCAAATTAAACATAATGTCACTGATTTTCTTTTTTTACTCTAAAGTGATTCCAAAGAAGTTTTCTTTTTTTAATTCACTTTTATTGTGGTGAAAACACACACCAAGACATATACCAACATAAGAACTTTCAGAGAAATTTTAAGTGGTGAAAATATTTTAAGCAATGGTAATATCAAATGTAATATAACACATTTATATTTGGATAAATAGATAATATTTACTTTGTTATTATTTAATGTTCATTTTCACAGTGTACAGTAATACTGTGCATGTTGAGGTATTGTTTATCACACTTAAAGAGTCATCATAGAATTTGAAACAACATCAAGGTCTATTAGTAAACATTTGGCTAAGTAAGTGATGGTTTTTGTAAGCAGTTTGGAATGCTGTGATCAGTTTTAAAAAATAATGACATAGGACTTCTGATAGGATGGCAGAATAGGCAGACAAGCTACACAGATCATCTTTAACAAAGAAAAGAGAAACCAGTTGACACAGATACAGAAGATAATCCTGCAGCCCTGAACTTTTAAAGAAAGTGGATTAAACACCAACTAGTAGAAGAACCTGAATGAAAACAGTGAGTTATGAGACAAATGGAGTTGAGGACTGTCAGTTATCCTGATGGCACTGACAGCCTGAATATTTCCAAGTGGTGTTAGGACTTGAGAATTAACCTAAAAATAGGCCCTGCTCACCAAGGGTTGCATGGACAACTGCGCTGGTGGCTGATGACTAAAAAGAGAAACCACAGAGAAGGAGAAGAACTGAACTGTGGACAGCTGTCTAGAGAGTGAAGCCATTTTGAATGTTTACAAGCAGCAGCCATTTTGGATATTTAAAGTGACAGCATTCTCATTCAGATTCCAGGGACTTAAGAATAGGCTCTGCTTGCCAAAGACAGCACAAACATACAGGAGGCTGACAACTGGAAAGGAGACAGGAAATAAGTGCTGCCAACGATCAAATAGAGGAACACAGTACCCTGCTTACTCAGATAACATCAAAAGAAAACTAAAATCTTGGGTGAATTGCTCCAATGTACAATCACCAATTAAATATAAATAAAAACATCACAGTGTCTCAGAGACAACAGACCATCACAGTCCACACAAAGAAGCAAGATAACACAGTAGAAGCAAGACACACACCCAGAACACATCCCTGAGGAAGAAGCTGTATTGGAACACCCTGATAAGGAATTCAAAAGAATTATATTTAGTTACCTTCAATGGATTGAGAGACAGATCCAGGAAAACACTGACAAAATTGAGGAAAACACAGAGAAAACCCTGGAACAATTTTGGAAGACAATACAAGAAGAAAATGACAAAATAAATGAAAAATTAGAAATGATACAAAATCTACAGATAGAAATCCAGAAGATTAATACTAAATTCTCAGAAATAGATAACACATTGAATGGGCAAAGGAGTAGAAATAAATCAGTGGAAGACAGAATTAGTGAGATTGAAGACAAATACCTCAATACTTCTTTGGAAAGGATCAGTCAGAAAAAAAGATCAAAACAAAATGAAGAAAGCCTAAGGTTCATGTGGGATACCATCAAAAGAAATAATCTACATGTAATGAGAATTCTAGAACAGAAAGAGATAAATAAAACCACAGAGAAAATAGTGGATGATTTGTTGGAACAGAATTTTCTTGATATGATGAAAGACGAAAATATATCCATTCAAGGGGCTCTGGTGGCATGGTGCCTAAGGCATTTGGCTGCTAAGCAGAAGGCTGGTGGTTCAAACCCACCAGCCACTCCTCAGAAGGAAGGTTGGACAATCTACTTCCATATTGATACCACCTCAGAAACCCAAGGGGGGGGGGGCGTCGCTATGAGTCAAATTCGACTTTAGGTCAGTGAGTTTTTTTTTCTTCTTTTTTTAACGAATCCCAAAAGAAAATCACAAAGACATGTCATCATCAAACTCACCAAAACGAAAGACAAGAATCCTGAAAGTAGTATAGGAAAAATGAAAAGTTACCTACAAAGGGCAACCTATAAGGCTAAGCTCTGATTTCTTGGCAGAAACCATGCAGGCAAAAAGGCAATTGGAGAGTATATATAAAACCTGAAAGAAAAAAAGTTCCAACCAAGAATTATATACCCAGGAAAATTGTCCCACAAATATGATGGTAAAATTAGGACATTTCCAGATAAGCAAAAATTAAGAGAATTTGTTAAAACAGACCAGCCTTACAAGAGATGCTAAAGGGAGTCCTTTGGACAGAGAACCAACAACAGCAAACAGCAACCTGCCATTAATATACATGATAACATAACCCAGAAAAAACCCAGTTATGAAAGTATCCAAAGTAAATAAGCTTACAGGATTGTGAACAGGGAAAGAGAGACATCAATTGGCAAATGAGATCGACTACACACTAAAAAGAGGGAATAAATTATGTAGTTACAGAACTTTTAAGTGGTGAGGAAGTCAAGACAATTGCAAGATAGAAAGGACTATTCTAAACTTGGGAAGAAAATTATAAATCACAAGGTAACCTCAAAGAAAAATGATAAACCTTCACATCAAAATAAAAAAGAGGATGAGCACAAATATTCATCAAATACTAAAACAATAGCAATGAAGGAAGTGACAACATGATATATAAACAAAACAAGCTCAACATAGAAAATTATATGGAACAAAGAAATCACTAACTCCATGAAAAATCACATAACAAAATGACAGCAACAAATTCATACTTCTCGATAATTACACTGAATGTCAATGGATTAAATACTCTACTCAAGAGACGGAGAGTTGCAGACTGGATAAGAAAACATAACCCATTGATATGCTGTCTACAAGAGACACACTTTAGAGAGAAAGACAAAAATAGACTAAAAATCAAAGGTTGGAAAAAGATATGCCAAGCAAATGGCAACCATAAAAGAGCAGGAGTGGCAATATTAATTTCTGATAAAATTGACTTTAAGACAAAAACCACCATAAGAAACAAGGAAGGACATCATCTAATGATTAAAGGATCGATGGATCAAGAGGACATAACCATAATAAATATCTATGGACCCAATGAAAGAGCCCCAAAATACATAAATCAGACTTTCACAGAATTGAAAAGACAAACAGATGACTCCACAGTTACAGTTTCAATGAAAGAGAGAACAACTGGAAAGAAATTCAACAAAGACACAAAAGAACTAAACAATACAATCCACCAACTTGACCTCATTGACATCTTCAGAGCACTTCACCCAACAACAGCACAATATACATTCTTTTCCAGTTCACATGGAACATTCTCCAGGATAGACCATATGTTCAGCCACAAAGCATAAAATTCACAACCTCTTCACTAATCGTGAGAAGTCTTTCAGTAATCGGCATACTTTTCGTCATAGGCTTCTATTCCAAAGACCTAATCATCGAAGCCGCAAGTAGGTCCTATACCAATGCCTGAGCCCTAGAAATCACCCTGATTGCAACATCCATAACAGCTGTATAAAATACCCAGATCATCTTCTTTGCCCTACTCGGGCAACCCCGATTCCCTGCCCTAATGATAATTAATGAAAACAACCTATTCCTCATGAGAACCATTAAATGCCTAACTATTGGCAGTATCTTCAGCAGCTATATTATTTCCCTTAATCTTAGCCCCACTACAGTACCGCAAGTAATTATACCTCCCTTCATCAAATATATTGTTTTTATTTGCCGTTGAGTCAGCCCCGACTCATAGCGACCCCTCCTTGGGTTTCCGAGGCAGTATCACTATGGAAGTAGGATTGCCCAACCTTCCTTCCGAGGAGTGGCTGGTGGGTTTGAACTGCCAGCCTTCTGGTTAGCAGTCAAGTGCCTTAGGCACTATGCTACCAGAGCTCCTTCATCAAATATATAGCACTTGGCAATCAGACTTACTGGTTTCCTATAATTTCCTGTAAATTTAAACACAATGAAATACCGCAAAACATTTTCTCAGATCACAATGTTATAAAATTAGAAATCAACAATGGGAAGATCAGTGGAAAAACAGCAAACATGTGGAAACTGACACCCTCCTTGAAAATGGGTGGGTACTTGGAAGGGGATCTATGTAGGAGATCCTTGATAGAGAGGAAGAACAATGTGGAACAAAACCTAAAATCATTTGGAGGGGGAAAAAAAAAAAGTGGGGACCAGGTTTGCTGGTCCGATAGAGCCTGGTGGAACCACTGAGACTATGGCCCCGAACTGCCCTTTAGGTCTGGAATTGAACTCACACTTGTGGTTTCCAGCCAAA